ACCTATCATTCCTAAACAAACAGAGCGAAAGCAGATCAATGAGGTTTTCTGCAGATAAATCTCAGGTACTCTGCCATAGATGCACTATACAAGAAGGTTTCATCACTCTTACTGGCACCCTCATTCCAATTGCGCATTCCGTTCGACATTTCGGAATACAATACTCAAGCAGCTTCAACTTCTCCGAACACATCCTACATGGCGGTGGCGAAAGCGAAATAACTAATATATTACATCACTAGGTCATTCCCACTATCCCATACAGGGCCTGAATCATTCAAGCCCATAGCGCGACCCACCATAGAGTACTGCACCAACATACATAGCCAACTATGCAAAACATATAGTATTGCTTTGGAAAACGTCCAGCGCCTAATCACAAAAATGTCGACTTGGCGCTCATCAAAGCTTACCTCATGTTTTGACAACTGAAAAGCAAACTTGTTCTTCTCTACAGCACTCGCGACTCAACTCGATCAGTAGGACTGTTGATTTACAAAATGGCTCAATCTATCCCACTCGTAATTAAAAATGCCTACTATTCCTACAGATGACCGAGAAAAATATCCGCTTAAACTTTTTCTTCATGAGGTACGCCCATCTGTGGAATAAACTACTGTTGCAAGTAAGGACCAGCGAGAGTCTGTCTATAGTTCGATCACATTCAAAAACATTTCTAAGCCAAATGTGGTCAAACATTGCAATTTTCAGCAATTCACCAGCGCACTCATGGAATCCGACCCGAAGAACATATGACAGTATTAACTATCGTATCATCATCATCATCATCATCATCATCATCATACACGTTAGCTAGAGGTGGGGAACACCTCAGCTACTGTGCCGCAATACAAAGAAAAAAATGAGAGAGAAAAAGAAAACAACTGCTGCAAGCTGGCTGAGCTACCGGTAACGGATGGGCATCGTTCCGGTAAGCTACCAGCCGGCTGCAGTGCACCCAAAAAATTATTATGCAAAATTATATAAGGCTAAGTAATGAGATCGTGGTTGGAGGGGGAGGCTAAGAGGGATGGGGTGGGACAAAGAAACTCACAGAACGAACGCCACTGAGGTCGGCTCCTAGCCATATCAGTAAGTGTGTCCAACCAAACGTGTTCATCGTTTTTCGGACCCCAACCAGGGAGCAGTGACGCTCCAACCGAGGCCAGCTCAGAAGTGACGGCTTTCATTCCTCTCGACCAAGTCATCGCTTGGCCACCCCTCCTCTTCTTCCATCCACACCCCCGGCGCGAAAACAATACACGTCGCGGAAGTCGGTGGGCTGGCATGTGTAACACGTGGCCGAGCCATCGGAGCCTGATACGTGAAATAACGGTGCTGAGCGGTTCAGTTCCTTTTCCTGTGCCGTCAACAAGGCGTCGAACACGCTCGTTGCTCACGCGGTGTTCCCACCAAATGTGAGCTAAATTACGAACGCACCGGTGGTCAAACGTAACTAGCCTCTTCAGGTCCGCTGCTTTAAGCGGCCAGGTTTCACAACCGCACAATAGGGTCGAACGTACCGCTGCATTGTACACTCTACCCTTCAGGGCAAGAGTGATGTCGCGCCGGCGCCACAAGTGGTGAAGGTTAGCAAAAGCGCCTCGAGCTTTTGCCATACGGTAGGTGATCTCATCTTCAATCCCACGGGCGCTGATACAACTTCCCAGGTAGTTGAATTTTTCAAAGACTTCTAGCTGATTCCCACAAACGGTCAGCGTAGGAGGCGATCCAGACCAATCTTGGAGAAACGCTTTGCACTTCGATGGTGCGAAGCAAAGCCCAAAGGAATGGACAGCCAGTGCTAACCTGTCCAGTTCCGTTTGGCACGTTTGTGAGCTATCACAGATCCGGGCAATATCATCAGCATAATCTAGGTCAAGAAGTCGTTCTCCTGGGAGTAGCTCCACACCTTCTAAGTCGTGTCATGTAAACGCGATTTCCATGACTTCGTCAACAGCGAAGTTGAAGAGGAAAGGTGACAGCGGGCATCCTTGTCTCACGCCGCTGGAGATATTAAAGGGCGACGACAACTTGCCGTAAGCCCTCACTCTGCCCGAGCTACGCGCACACAATGCTCGGATAATATTCACATATTTCTCAGGTACACCTTTCCTGAGTAGACAGTCCCAAAGTGCATGTCTATCCACCGAATCGAATGCACCTTCGACGTCGAGGAACACGACTACGGTGGGCCGCCAATATGTGTGACAGTGCTCCAACAACTGACGCAAGGTGAAGATGTGGTCAATGCAGCCACGACCCCGACGAAATCCAGCTTGCTCTTCACGAATCTGAATTTCACGAGTGCCTGTCAGTCTGTGAAGGATGACAGAGGCAAGCAATTTGGAGGCGATGGAGATCAGACTGATTCCTCTATGGCTGCCACATTCCGATCATGAGCCTCCTTTGAAAATTGGGACTGTGATGGAGCGGCTCCAGTCTGTTGGCACGGTTTCCTGCTCCCACAGTTTCACTAGTAACTCGTATAAATCATCCACAAGAGCAGGTCCCCGAATTTGAAGAGGTCTGGAGGAAGATCACCTGGTCCTTCGGCTTTATTTAACTTCAACAGTCCGATCTCACGTTCGACTTCTGAGCGAGACGGTGGATCCAAAGGAACAGACCACGGAGCAGGGCGATCAGTGACCGGCGAATAGAACAATTCTAGCCGATTAAATTGCTTTTCAAAATGCTCAGCCCAACGCTCCAAGCGTTTGGATAAGTTGTGGCTAGGATGTCCACTCTCGTCACGTATAGTTTCACTAACACCAGGTCTCCTGCTGCCCGTTTCCCGTATCAGACGGAATAACTCACGATGGTTACCAAGGGCAGCGGCCATCTCCATCTCTGTTGCACGATTAGACCACCAGGATTCGCGGTCTCTCTTCAGGCTAGCACGGAGTTCTGCCCGGAGCTCTTTGCGAGTTTCACTGTGTTCACTTCCAGTCGGAATATGCCGGCGAGCATCTATAAGTTCCAGAGACTGCGAAGAGACCCAATGTCCATGTTGGCGATTAGACATACCACATGAGGATTTTCCTGCTGCTAGTAAGGTCTGGTGAATATGAGACCAGTGAGCTTCAGTTGCATCCAGTGAGCGTTTATCCAACTCGCATGACAGCGTAATTTGATGGGCATTCAGAACAGCTGACTTCGCCAGTCTGCCGGTGTCAATGCGCTCACAACATCGTCGCCGGCGTCCGCCAAAGCGCATCCGCATGTCAGCACATACAAGTGCATGATCGGTGTCAACACCTCTGCTCCAAATCGAGCGACAGTTCTGGACGCAGCCTCTCCATCGGTAACATATCGCAATGTGATCGATTTGCGTCCAACGCTGATTCGAGGCTGGTGGGCGCCAAGTCACCCTCCGGCGGGTGCTGTGTCGGAAATTAGTGCTCGCAAGAAATAAGCGAGCATCCTCCCACAAATGAAGTAACCCCTCACCGTTATCATTATGGGGGCCTACACCATGTTGGCCGCCCAGATGCTGCTCATCTGTGGATAATATTCCAACTTGAGTGTTCAGATCCCCGGCCAGCACTACAGTGTCCGAGCTTCTTCTGTGGCGAAGGAGTTCGTTCAGTTGGCGATAGAAGTCGTCTTTTACCGAGTCATCGCTACAGTTTGTCGGTGCATAGGCAGCGATGACGAATGGACACCTGTTAGTCCCACGCGACTTCGAAGTTTTGAACGAGCCAGCCAATCGGACCGCACACATCCGTTTACTGCTTGGAATCCAATCAACCAGAGCAGCTTAAGCCCGGGGACCCAGGGCAATACCAACACCGGCTTGGCTGGTGCTCGAAGCCGCATCGTCACCGGATAGGCGCAATGAGAATGTGCTGCTAGTGTCACCTGAAGGGGATCGCAGAGTGAGTACAGAGCTCGAGTCTTGCAGGCGGGTCTCCGATAAGCAGCAAGCAATGGAGAGCGTCTCCAATGTTCGGGCAAGTGCTGCCTGTTGACCGATCGGTAGCAATGTGCGTACATTGAGGCATGTCAATCTGAAGGAGGATCGAGGGCTCCAAATGAAAACCGATGAACTGGAATGAGCTGCTTGCTTGGACATGTGCCTATTGACAGTGCAGGAATGACGCTCCGCGTTCACCTGTGAGTTGGAACTAAAAGACAAGCGACTATTGAAGCAAGGTGGGGGAGGGCCGAGAATTGGGGGGTTGAAAACAGGGGGGGATAAAAGTGAAGCTGGAACGGGACGATAAGGGTGAAAAAGCGCAAGAAGGGGAATAAGAAGATGGGAAGGCTTGAGCAGTAGCATCCAAACCCCTATCCACCCTGCCCGATGCAGCAGATAGGGCACCGTTGATTATCCTCTGCGGTAGTCAGAGCATCAGAAATTCGTTTGAGGAGAGATTCATTGTATTGCGTGGGCAGGATACTGTCAGGTTGGCCTGGCCTAGACAGTGGAACGATTAGGGTTCTCAACCAAAGTCTTTGGTTCAAAAACCTAATCACAAGGCAGCGGGTTTAGCGTTGGGCTACAAGGAGTCCGTTTTAAGGAATAAGGAGCCACCCTCATTCCAACCCCCAACCTGGAGGACCAGGAGGCTGAGTTTGTCTGGCCTCTAACCATTGACCAATCTGGTATGAGTGGCTGTGAAGGTGCAAAAGCACCACCCAGTACAGCTCAATGGATCACTGAGGCACATAAACCATCGCACCACGGTTAGGTCCAGCCTCATTGCGTATAATGCTACTTATTACATATTCAACGAAACAATTCATGAAAGGATGATGGAACGTGTTACACAGATGATCGTTCCGCAAAAGGGAACGTAACCAGCTCGTCGGGAAATATACTAATTTATTTACCTAGAACCGATGAGGCAACAGCGCTTTAAGATGCGCAACACAGTGGGAAATGAATGGATTTGCTAACATGCAGCGGTGACAACATGAGTGATTTTATCTTTATGTTATATGAGTGCGCAAACCCTATATTGCATGCAGCGCAACACGAAGAACGTAAACATTACCTTGGCGTATATAATGTAATCCCTCAAAAAGGTGGTGTCGACGCCGCAAGAATCCTCCACATCGAAATCGGTGGTTTCTGGTGGCTCGTGTCGACGCGTACCAGAACGAGCACTACCGCCAGGTCCACGGGCTTGGACCCGCCGGTCGACTGTCCCTGAGAAGTTGCTACGATAATAGAGTCCAACCAGGTGACGGGCAAGACGAGCGTCATACACTTCATCTTGTGGATCCAGAATGAGGAAAATCAGGTCAAATCGAGATAGCAGCGTATGAGGAAGCTATGGTAGACAGAGGACCAATAGGGAGGACCAATAGGGTTATGCAAGTTAGTAGCAAGGTATGCAGCAACACACCTGTAAAAACTGGGTTGAATACAAAATGAAAGCACGCAATCGGAAAGAGTTTCAGTGTTTCGTGGATAATAGACACATCAGTGATCTGCTGACGATCAGACACAACCACCTGTAAGGAAAGGAGCGATGTCACACGAGTCCAATTTGTGTACAATGAAAGAAGAAGCTACCAACCTGAATGTTTTCTATGATAGTTTTACTGGGATCCCATTTCGAGCCGACGGGATTGGCGGCCGCCAGAATAGAGGTCCGGGCGTGCAACTGACAAAGTATGCCAGCTTTGGCGATACTCAATGTTTGTTGCTCCATCACTTCATGAAGAACGGAACGCGTTGAATCCGACATTTTATCGAACTCGTCAATACAACAGATTCCGTTGTCCGCCAAAACTGTAAATATAGAAATGTCACAGCACTACTGTGAAGAGTTTAGCTCCGATTTCAAACAGCATGTAGAAAATTTATTTGAGTCCTAACAAGCAACATGTATTACCATATCAAGAAAGCTTAATACGCATTAATCAAAATGTGATTAAAAAACCAGATTCCTCAACTATCCTCGGTCTCAAGTACATTCGAGCAACCGTCGTGGCTAAGTAAAGACATAAATGGACGTATCTCTGACTGAAGGGGGAATAGCTATCGAGAAAAGTATGCAAAATGATTACACACTATCTGTCGCAGGATGATGATCCACGATTTGTTCAGGACAAATCGGAAAACTGTACACAGCGCCTTCCAACCACATTTCCAGGAACATGGGATATGTTACTAAAGGGGGTGAGATGAGCGCTGCAAGTAAGTAATCGAAATCGAAAATAAAATTGTGGAAGTCATATGCAACAATAAAGGACAGATCGTCTTAGGCAACCAAAGAATCCCTGAAAAAGTACGAAAAGAAAGCTGATACAGAGAACTACGAAGAAGCAATGACATTTCAGACGCCAGCTATATGGCACCACTCTTATTACAGTGACTTCAGATGACACGGTTGGCCCAGTACCAAGTCAGTAACAATTTATATTCTATGCCCCAACTATTTGCTTGTTCCCAAGTCTGCAGGGCTTCCAAGTGATAGTTCGCCCTTATCCCCGAACTTAGTGGAAGATCTGATTAAAACATGTATATACTTACCCCTTACCCTACAAACCACCTCAATGCTTCAGATAATTACGACATAAACATCATAACGTTCACATCCACTGCTGAGTCCAAAGCATTGCCATCAGATAGTCAACCAATTGTGAACTTACCCAGGGCGTGTTTTTCTGCTCAATGCATGCTCCCTTAAAACAAAATCCATCTCCTATGGTCATTTATTTCCCTCACTGATGCGCAAATCATAAACGTGACCGAGACGTTGTTAATGAAAGACACTCCTGAATTCGACTACCACATATTGAAATACAAGACATTTATTGGGCGCCGTAAGTTTGCACTGGGTGACGGTTGCCTGATCTATATACACGAGTCATTGCGCGCTTCAACAGGACATATTCCCTCACATAATTGCCTCCATGACCCCGTTTTTATTAAAGCGCAACTGGGTAATAACCTTTCGCTCCTCGGGTGTGTATACATGCACCCCATTTCAATTCCGCAGAAATTAATGCACTGCAAGATCTGTTCTGTTGCGTAGCGGATCAACCAGCCGAGTACAAAATGATAGGCGGAGATTTCATAGACCTAAAGCCACGTGCTCATCTGGTAGGCAAATTTAACTTTATTCTAATATACATAGGGATGGACAAAGCAAGTTACAACCCCACCAGAAAGAATAACCTATTGGATCGGAAACTTCCTATTGGCTAAATACCAAATTCTGCACAAATTCTGGAATACCTTCTTGATAGTGACCACAGGGCAGTCCTTTTACTCACAAATCACGCCCAACTCCCAATAACGACTGCGTCCAAGTTACAAATGCTCTCAATGCAGTGCCAATCAGCTGACTGGGACTCGTTGGCTAATTTAGTCAATGACGACCTGCAAGCCGCAGCTGATACTGTATATAACAACATCAATCTCTGTCACGACACAGTGGCTCCTATCAAAAATATGCACTTTCCAACAGATCGCGAAAAGAATGTTTCAGGGAAAGTAGCTGCTAAGCTCCCAAAACTATTTATGGCCCTACTGCAAAACGAATGATTCTAATACAAGATGCAACATCATAATGTTGCCACATTGCTGAAGCCGGCTAATCACGCCAAACAAAAGACTGATGAAAAACGGGCTCTAGACAGTGGATTCAAAAACCGTGAACTGATCAGTCCTTTAAATCGTAGAAATACTAAGCGTATCCAAGGTACAACCTCTCTCGTAGCACCAGATGGCTGCGATGGGAGCACCGCGTGAAAAAAGTGTTCGGCATAGTGCATTTGGTGCAAGAAGAGCAGGTGAACCGCTCAGCACCATTACATCACGCACCAGAATCCGTGGCTGAGCCACGTGTTGCGCGTGCCAGCCCACGGACTCCTGCGAGGTGTGTTGTTTGCTCGCCCGGGGTCTGGTTGGAAGAGGAAGAAGGCCAAGCAATGACGTGGTCGTGATGAATGAAAACCCTCACTTGGAACTCGGCGAGGGTTGGTGCTTTTCGACTGCCGGGCTGGGGACCAAAAAACGATGAACACGCCTGATTGGACACACTAGCTGATTTGGCTAGGAGCCAGCCCAAATGGCGTTTGCGCTGTGACTTTCTTCTCCTATCCTACTTTCCTTTAGAGACCCCCAAACACGATCTCATGGCAAATTAATAATATGATAGTTAACATTATATTAATTAATTTTTGAATGTTTGTGGTGTTACTTTTAGTAACTTACTTTTTTATATTGCGGCACACCAGCTAAAGCGTGCTTCTCAACCTCAGCTAACGTGTATTGGTGATGATGATGATCAGACGGCTGCAATATAACAGACCTTACTCAAACTAGCGTAATATTTAATCATTATTCTTAGGCAATTTTTAACGGAATATTGAATCCGTATGCCACCAGCCAAGGTCGATCAGCTCAGCTGTATCAAATTTGAGCCCCAAGATAAACCCAAACCTATCAGGCGCCCAATAGTATCATAGTTTGGTGGTATAAACAATATACCGCTCGTAGTCATGAAATCTGGTAGGGATAACAACTCGATATTGCTGGATAGGTTCAATCTATCCATGAACACCGGCACAGCGTAGTGAAAAAAGCCAGTTATGCCGCGACATACTTCTATGTCCCAAAAGTAGGTACTGAGTTTCCTTTGTACTACTACACAAAGTAACACCTCATTGATGGATATCGGCGCATCGGTAGAGATCTTAGCTGAATAGCTAGACTTGTTTCAACTTGATCGGCTTATTCATTCCCGCGTTACCGTAGTTTGTGTAAAGTCGTGTGTTAATACCTTGCTAGGTTTTCGATGGAGCGAAATGTCGAACAACGGTACGCTATCGAATTTTGTGTAAATTCAAAAAGTCTGACACCGAAACATTTGAAACGTTAACAGAAACTTATAAAGATGCCACTTTACCGATGAATATGATTTTTACGTGGCATAAAGCTTTCACAGAGGGTCGACAGAATGTTGAAGACGAACCTCGTTCCGGAACGCCAATCTTGACAACATTTGATCAAAGTATGGAAGTTGTGCGAGCTGTTGGCGAAAACGATAATCATCGTATTTTTAAACAGCCGTAGTGTGTACAAAGAATTTTCACCTCCAGGAAAGGCAGTTATTCAGGCCTTCCATGGAGGTATCTTGGAACGACTACGAAAGTGGGTCCAAGGTGTCTGGATGGGCTCTGGCGATTATTGGGTGTTACATCACGATAACACGCCTGATCACACAGCGGTTTCCTTTTGATAGTTTTTGGCGAAGAAAAACACCCCCCACACTACCACAATCTTCCTATAGCCTTGACCGAGCGCCATGCGATTTCTCTTCCCTCAGTTGGAGTCATCATCATGGAACAGTGAAAAACATCAAAAATTGTGAGGAATGAACTTAGCACTCTTAAAGTAAATGACCTCAGTCCTGGTACGATGAGTGGAAAAAACGTTGGAACTATCGTGTATCTTCCCACGTGTAATATTATGAAGGAGGTAACTTGTAATTCCGTGTGAGTCTTACATAAAGTTAAATAAAAAATCAGTACACTTATTTTTGGGACACAGAGGTAAATCAGGCTAGCAGTTCGAGCCTGAAAATTATAACTCACTAAGCATAGAGCGACATATCAAATCTAAAACTGTCGAATTCCTACTGTCAAGAAAGCTAATACAGAATTCAACACGATTTCTTGAATAATCGGTCTAGCATAACGTGGCAGTTGGAATTTCTAAACAGCGTCGCATAATCTTGGATTATCGGCAACTTTGAAGTACCTCGACATGCCCAACGCCTCATGAAAACCTACTGCCTAAAATGATGTCCTACGGGATCGGTGAACCCCCGCTTTCTTGGTTCAGATCATAACTTCCGAATCGAACGCAAGCGGTAGAAATTCAAGATTACAAATCTGAGCCTACACCATGCACTAATGGTGTAGGAATTGTCCTTAGGCCGCTATCGTTCTTGATACATGTTGACGATATCTTCGGCGTAGTAAAAGTAGGCATATTATACCTCTTTGTTAATGACATAAAAACCGTGTGCATCTCCGTCTGGATGCTGTCAACATGGGGAAACTCGACCTGCATACACTTGAAACCTGGTGTTCAAAATAAGTTGTCTTTCTCTAATAACAACTGGCGTGCAATGTCCCACAAGTGCGATTTGACTCATTGCGGGCCCGAATAGATGGCAAACCGCCTAATCTCTGTCCTATGGTGATATACCTAGGATTGCGAGATTCACCCAAACTTGACTTCTGAGAACAAGTAGGCCATGCCACCGCAAAAACAAGAAAGAAAATTGGATAAGTATTTAAGACTTTTTTTCTACAACAGTCAATACCACATTCTTAAGCACAGATGTTGGACACACGTTGGAATATTGTTCAATGGTGTATAGCCGCTCAAAAAAGTGACCGCAATGCAATGGAACAGGCACAGAAAGCATTCACAAAACGCCTCCAAGGTGCTTCATCAAAACTGCAATAATCTGAACGATTTGATAAGCTCAAGCCTGATTCGCTCTGGCTATGGCGCATGAAGCAGTACCTAGTTATATACTCCAACATCTTGCACGAAAATATACACGTTTCCAACCTCAACATAAAAACTTATGCAAGCAGCCGTCTAAAAAACACCTGAAACAAAGAGAACGCAGTGGCGAAATATAAGTCCAGGTCTGCCAACTCTTTTATTAACAGGTACGTCAAAGTCTGAAACAGGGTACCACCCGGAATACGTTCCTGCACTCTTCAGCAGTAGTTAGTTTGCAAATTATGTAGCCCATCCAACGTTTCCCATAGCTCAGTGGCTTAAGCTGTTGGCTAGTTGGCATCCGCCTTTAGCGGTCATGTGTTCGATCCCCAATAGGGAACCCAGGGGATGCGCACCACTGACCAGCCCCAATAGGGCGAAACGCGTCTGGTGCATTTTCGAACTAGGCTGTGCTATGTACCTTGTGAACTACTGGGATGAATACCTTAAAATACTACAACGAAAATCCTGCTACTTACAAGTAATTCTGTTTCCTGCTCAGGCATTGAATTATTATTATTATTATTATTAGCAGTAGTAATAGTAGTGTGCTGGCGAACAGAGTTAAGACAAACGAATCAATTGTAGTGGGCAAACGAGGTTGAGCTAAGCGGTATTTGTAGCAATAAACGATTATAGACACAAGAAACACGAGGTACGGTATCGCCAGCAATGCAATGCAGGAAGACAAGTATTATCAACCAGAGACTTAGTGCTAAACCACGATCATTAATTGTGTACGGAATATGAAAGGTGGATGAATGGCACGAGTGTGTATAGGAGTACAAATTTCAATACAAAACATCTTTCAGTTACACGACGTGCCAATGCGAGAGCCACAGCAAGAACCTCGGCGCAGGTACGAATAAACGCACGACAATATTGGATTTTTGACTAGCAGTGTGAGTACCGCTAGAAGACGAAGACGTAAAATACCAACAGATGGTGAGCTTGTGCTCTGAACGTCCCAGCGATCAAGATGTCAGTCGTAAAACTCGACGCTCAGATTTACACTCTTATCGACTGTTATCACTGCCTGTGCAGTCCAAACAAGGAATAAAGCGGCTATGTAATGCAGTGCATTGGAGCGATTAACAAGTGAACTCTCAAAATACGGTTCCAGTGGTCTTCCAGGTTTAGTTCGATGTAAACGGTGCTTCCTATTAAGGTCAAGTGGCGAAATGTAAAATAGTAACAAAGACTACTACTAAGCGCTGTGACATGCGTGGTTCTCGGACGAAATCGATCGCGGGGGCGCAGCGCTACACCGAGACGTTTCACAACAATCAGAAAGAAAGAAAAAAGGAAACAGAGATGATGAAACCAGATATATGGGTCGCCGAAGGCAGATTGCCGCTTGACTTGTGGTCTAACGGATGTGGGTAACGGAAATCAAAAAAAACCTCCAGAAACTGGGGCACATGATAGTCTCTGACAGCAACGCAAAACATATAACCAACTGCAGCTGGCTGCCCTGGTTAGTAACTCGTCGGAAATGTCATGGATACGGAAATATTTGCTAACCGTTAAACAAAGTAGGTGTAATCGTGCCATCTGTTTGGACTGATGTAGTAAGGACAAAATCAATAACGGTAGACTATCAGTCGTATTTCATCATAAATGTACGAAATTTGGCAACAATACTGACCAAGAGCGCCAGTTTGTAGTGTGAGTTGTCTCGTTTCGGGATCCTTGGTAACAAAAGCCGTCAGACCGACAGCAGAGCTGCCTTTGCCCGAGGTGTATTGACCGCGTTGAGAGAGCCGGAACACATACTGCAGTAACTGTGATTTCGAGGTACCTGGATCGCCACAAAGCAAAATATTGATTTCGGAGCGAAACTCTCCGCGACCTTTGGAGGTGAAGTCCTTGCGAGTGCCGCCAAACAACTGGTAGGGAACAAAAATACAAACCACTATGAGGTATCATGAGAGAGAAGCAAGATGTCTAAAAGATTAACTAGTGAAAGATAAAGCAATGTGTGATGTGGGTGGCTAGTACATACGATTTAGTTCAGACAAGGTGTCACGTTGATAATAAATAATAAGTGACAATGGTATAAGGCGGGAGAAACTATATCACGATTTTAGTCATCAAGATGCAGAAACAGAAAGCAACACAAAGAGCATCATGCAGCCAACTTAAAGTATTTCAGTTCAACAGGCGCTCTAGTACAGCATCAGAGATGCTTTGCGATGATCAAATGGTGAATCCTAATATCGGTTGCTCGGTGCGCCCACATGTGCGCAAGTACCGGGAATCGAAGACGACTCCGTACATTCAACCATACAGTTGAATAAAAAGCAAAGCATAAATGGACATACAACGATGAGATTGAATTCGTTAAAACGCCGCAGTAACGGCTTGCCCGGCAGAACACTTCCACTTAGTTACGCAATCAGTATCAGGATAGCGAAATGCATTAGATTCGATGGATTTGATTCGTGAAGGTATTACTATTGACATCACATTTTATGCACAAAGATGGAAAAGTGATGAGAGAAAATACAGTATAAATCAAGTAGAAGGAAGGCAACACAGAACTCATGGCTCTGTGAAAGTGTATAATAAATGATTTGGCACTGGGTGTTTCTGTAAACACAATGAGAGCCAGGTCGTTGAGTGATCAATTACACAGGGAATGCGGCTAGCAAAAAATCGAAGAACCTGGCAACTGGAGCATACCGTGCAAGCTCAGTGGGTGAAACGTATCGGCGCCAGAGGATGCTGCACGATGGATTTGGTGCTCCCACCAGGAATGCGCTGGTGCCAGCAAATCACTCTCAACGGAAGATGCCGAAAAGCTGAGATGTGACCGCTGATAGGGGTTTGACAACGCCAAAGCGTTAGTGGGATCAAGATTGTCGATGCTTAACGTGTCGAAGTGGCTTAAGCAAAGGATCCATATTATCAACATAGGAAAGTTAGAAAGGAAAACATGGCGAACATTCTATCAATCGACAATTATTTTTCGGTAAGATCGCATAAACATGACGTTTTGATAGATAGATAGATAGATAGATAGATAGATAGATAGATAGATAGATAGATAGATAGATAGATAGATAGATAGATAGATAGATAGATAGATAGATAGATAGATAGACTGTTTGAAGTTGCTTCTCCTATTACTCCCAAGTAACTGGTACCCACTGCTTGATTCCGACATGATATCTGCGTAGAACGGTCTTATTCTGCAGCGCTTCCAAAGAAGGGTAATTTGAACTTAGTCTAAGGCACTGTAAAGCGGTCATCGCAATATTGCTCAATGTGCTTAAGAAACGCTGTGAGTAGATCCACACACGGAATCGAAACCCACGGACATCCAATTACCGTATTTATTAGAATGAGTCTACGTGTCCAAGTGAATTTTCGTTGAGGTGGTCATCCAGTCACATACCATCAGCAACAGGCATTCATCTCCACTTCCTGTTTTCGCCTTGGGTCATGCCGTCCAATCGATTTCGTGGGAGGACATATAATTGCAGTTTTACAGGTCACCGCGATTTCATCGCGGATGAGTTTGCTAGTAGATAACACTGTGTACAGAGAAAAAGGATGCGGAATCCCTCTAAGCAGTCTCTATAGCTTGACTACCTATTGAATAAACATAGGCATTCCATCGGGAATAAAATATAAAGTGCAGTGAAATTTAAGGTGACTAGCTGTGAGTTGTTACTGAAGAAAACAACTTCTATAGATCCGAAATGACTGCACATTCTTGTAACGACTAACAGCGGCTGAAGTGACGCAAGATATTATCGGATGAATACACTGTCGGACTGTCGGTCGGACTATTATAACGCTCCTGCAGTATCTGCAACTGTGTCTCCAAATTTTTATCACAATCCCGCCTGCATACACTCGTTTGGCCGAGCACGACGTGCTACTCGCAGCGTTACAAACATCTCAAATTTGAACATTACGGATTACCATCCCTTGTCTATTTTGAAATTTTACGTTTCCTCTGCTAAGAACACATGTGTAAGTGTATTCGCCTTGCATGCTACATCATGAATTGTAACGTTTTCCGGAAACCCAGTCTAAAGGCTATCGAACAACTCCACAAAAGCTCAATCCGGTAGCTGTATAAGTCAGCTACTGGTAAATTTATCACAGTTACAATTCTTGTCGTCACTGGCCGAGAAATGCATACAATAAGCTGGATCGATAGCTCGCGTGCTTGCCTAACTGCATCGCCGATCTATGGCCTTGACATGTGTGCAGTTGCGGCCATTCGTACAGTCACTAGCTTTCTCCCTCAGCCACTGTGAATTTGAGCTTCGCTTAAGCTCAGCGACAGTATCCATACATAAACAATTATGCGGTCACATCCGCGCCACGGAGTTACGGGATCAATACACATTCTTCACCCAAATCGTTCTACGGACCTGAAAGGTTAGAGGACGAAGTTGAACGACTAATCTACAGGCAGAACTAGAACAGTCGGTTTCGGTCGCAGTTCTACTTAACTGCCAAACGTAGGCAATTTTTCTGAGTGTTTAATTTTACAATGTGTACATGTCTTGGCGATATAACACGATTTGTAATCAGTTTCAGGTGCTAGGAAAACGCACTGAAAGGTCTGTAGTGCTACTAAAAAGTGAAATGGCGTAGAGCTAAAACAGGAACCAGTAACATTATGTAGCAAATACGCCAGTAAAAGGAAAAGTGGACCAATCATAACGACAAAAATATCAAAAAACAGCAGTAGTCTGCAGAGATAATGCCACAGAAACTAGAAGTGACTCAGCTAAGACGACGAAAAAGGAAGCAGTAGCGGTGTTCTCCGATGATAGGTTTGATTTACAATCTGAAGAGCAAAACTGCATCACTGTTACTGGAGAAGTCACATAACTGAAAATCGAACTGCTGCGCTTCGACGCAAAAACCACCAAGTCTGGTCTTTCTGTGAATTACTTGAAGGCCTAAAAGACGTGAAATTAGACAGACTACACACCACTGGTTGCTTTCTCTCCTTAATCACAAACAAGATTTAAAAATGTCTACGCAGATCAAAGAATGTGACAATGTCCAACACACCCGACAGATTGAGTACAGATAAAGTAAACAATATTTTGCTCGCAGCATGTATTATGAGTCTGTCTCAGACTCCAGAAGGCGACAACACCCCATAATCTTTAAAATCCCAGATGATGCAACGACCGAAAATTTTGTACAGAACAAACGTTCCATTGCAGAAAGAATTGACATTAAGAAGATTTTGATCAGAAGCGAGCAAATACCACTACGCAAGCGGTTTGCACTCAAGGCGTATCATTTAGATGCACATATTTCTGACAATTACACAAACGGCATGTACAACGATGAGGACCTTGACAGGTCACCAACGCCGTCTCTACCTAAACACACTCACCAACAATGAGTGCACCAAGCCACGTACGATATATCATTGCATGATAATGCTGACTCCGTCTAGCCAGAAGATCCTTGGCACAGGCACAACGTAACAGTAATTACAAACCCCAAAGAAGTTGGTGTCATATCAAGTGCCCCTTTCACAAGTAACGAGTCTGCAAATTGTGCGGCCAGAATAAAGAGCAAAACTGCAAAATGTGGAAGTAAGCATATTGGAAATCTGAATCAACTACCCGTACTGGATATCGCAGCAACTATCCCAGGTCTCAAAAGGAAATAAATAAAGGTTTTATTCCGGCAGTGTGAGGCACGCCTGGGCAGCGCGCAGTATTCCTAGAATAGTCCGTAGGAATACCCAACAGCCGATAACACATAAAAAACATCCATCAGAATAGGAGGAAAGCTCAGTAAATCAGCTGAGGAGAACCGTACGCTGTAGCACATCTGCAAATGATATTGGAACTGATTCTGGGGACAATAGTAGCAAACCGACCTACTATACACTATCACAAAAGTTGCTGTTACCTACTTCTCCGACCCGGAGATGACAATCTTCAAATTCGACGAATGAAGTATCTTATTACAGATCTGGAGAAACGCACGGGGACATACCACCACAAGCCTTAGTTTTTAGCCTATCCTCTATCACCACTTCCTCCTAAGGAACAGTCCCACTCTTTACTCAGCAGTGCGTTTTTAAACCATCATCTGGCACGACCAATAAGGTCTCCGCATACGATCATACAGAACCCAACGATGACCCATTGGTTCCAGCATTTCCCTCGCTGGAGCCAGCACATCGTATCCCACAACAGAGCACAATTGGTTCATTGCGGCACAACAACCACGTCCATGAAGACAGAGGGTGTGATACAACCAACTCTGTTTATCATACTTCACTAGTTACTCTTAAACTTGCCATTATAAATATTCGCTCGCTATTATCTAAACTACAGCGTTTAGGTCCCTTAAAACGCACCACATTGCTCGGATCACCGAAAAATGGTGCACATCAGCTACACCAGCTACTTTCAACTGGGTGTTCTGGGTTATCAGTTGTTTCGGAAGCATCGCATGCAGAAACACGGTGGTGGATGTGCCATCTACACACACCTCATGACGTAACAGCAATCTCAACTGACCAGTTATCCCTTAAAAATTTGGGTGATTCATTTTGGTTTACTATTCCGGCCTACGATCTGCTACTGAGTTGCATGTATCAACCATTTTAATGCCACTCTCCATGAATCTCAATAGTGAATATTTGTCATTAACGTAGCTTCTAACACTCCACATAAGTACAAATTTCTATGTGGAGAATTCAATATGCCAAATACAAATTGGATGTCGCAAAGGCCCGCATAAACTGCAGGAATCGCGGCAATGGCACAATGTGTCTATATTAATGATAGGATTCAACACGTTAACGAAAGTAAAAGGTTAGATAACATCCTAGGTGTGGATTTCACCGTGGGTATTCCATCCGTTCCTGCATTAATTGATGACCCACTAGTATGTGACCACAGTACGGTGCTCTACAGCACGACTATCAGCTAAGGTGAAAAGTCCAGAGCAATAAGTAGTCCAGTACCCTGAGTATACCTTGTTGATTGAGGCACATTTAACAAACTGCTTAGAACCATGCGTTGGAGCAGATTCTTCTCCACAGCAGATTCGACCGTAGTCGAAGGCGAGTCCTCGAAAGATAACACCAAATGTACGGACATCCTAATACCCACGTTAAACTATGACCCTTTCGACGGCCGATGCACTGTACTAAGTTAAAGAAATTGAGTTCACTGCGCTGTAAATACAGATAAAGCTCGCGCCCTGATGAATTTACTAGGAAGGAATCTTAAACGGCATCATGAAATTCCAAGCCTAATTTCAGACGAAGGTACGGCAAGATGACATAGTCCATATGTGCGATTTCATGAATTTCTACTGCCACCTCTTTTAATACTTTATCATCTGTATCCTCTCCATCTCTGGCGAAATTCGAAAGAGGTACTGCGTACCATCCCTATGAGTCCAACGGACTTACAGATGTCTAGTACATCCATCAAACCGACATTCCAACCGCGACCTGATGGTAAACCACTTACAGCTATAAGGTTAGGAGTAGAAAACGTACCCCTCCTCCTGTCGAGCAATTTTACATTATCAATAAACACTGGCTGCTTCTCGCACCAACGGAAAAATTTCCTAAATATGCGGAAACACAATGACGGTCCAGGAAATGGGATGTCAAATCATCGGATGATAAACAATGCCTTCCTCGCCGTAGAGGCCTTATGAATAATTGTCAAGGAACGGATCGGTTCATGACAAATAAAGTCTAGTCAGCAGTTCTCAACGTGGGTTCAATACAAAACGTTCCTGTGTCACATGCAAAGTACAATTCCCTGATCATGATACAGTTACACTTGATGGTGGCATGGCTATTATCATCATTTTGGACATACGAAAAACGTTTGACTGTGTACCGCACAAACCACTGTTAGTCATGCTTGGTTTCTATGGGATCAGCAATAATCTATCGAGCTGGCTGGACTCATACCGGAACATAAAATGTACAGATTTATTAACATTGTTCTGTTTTCAGAAATGTCACTAATGATGTCGCTCAGTGCAGTGCATTGGGCTTATTAGTTTTTCTCATTCACATAAACGATATATGTGATCACATTAGACACAGGCGCCCATTTTTATTTGCGGACCACATCAAACTATGTGTACTCATTTCTACCTGACCATCTGGAACTATGCAAAAAAACCTAACATCCCTAAACAAATAGAGCGAAAGCAGATCAATGAGATTTGCTGCAGATAAATCACAGGTACCCTGTCATAGATGCACTATACCAGAAGGAGTCATCACTCATACTCCAACTGCGCATTCCGTTCGACACTGGAATACACTAGTCAAGCAGCGTCAACACATCCTACATCAAACAAAGAAAGTGAAGAAACTAACAGACTACAACACTAGGTCATTTCCGCTCTCTCAAACACGGCTTGAATCAATCAAACTCATAATGCGACCCACTCTGCAGTATTGCACTGTCAAACATTGTCATTTATGTAAAACAGATAGAACTGCTTTGGAAAACGTCCATCGGCCAATCAGTAAAATGCCCATGGGGCGTTCATCAACGCTCACCAGTGGGGAACAATTTCTTTACCCCTGGCTTCGACGACTGAAAAGCTAATTTATTCGCAAGTATCCTCTAGCAGACTGACTGTCGAATTACAAAATGGCTAAAACTATCCCACTCGTAATGGAAAATGTCTACTATTCTTACAGTGGACTAAGCAAAATGGCCGCCTAGATTTCTTATTGGTGCGGTACGCCCATGTGTGAAATAAAGTACCGCTGCAATTAAGGACCAGCGAGAGTCAGTCTATAGTTAGATCACATTTAAAAACATTTCTAAGGCAAATGTGATCAAACTTTTTGAATTTCATCAATCCACGAGTGCATTCATGGAATTCGGCCTGGAAAACAAATGATAAAACTAGTGTTAGTTAGTACCTACTCTGCCAATGGTCGCATCGTTGTTCCATATTGAAGATAGTTTAATTAATGAAATGTTAGCAAAACTCGCTGTGCAAATGATCATTCCACAAAGGGAACATATCTCGCCCGTAGAGAAATAGACCCATCTAAGTAGACATTTATATGTGGAAAAACAAGTAAGCAAGAGTCTTCAACCTCGTTGGGCTTTATAAGTTCAAGGACACTGCCTGACAAAAATTACACGAGCACCAGATGAGAAAAGTTCACATCGAGGAATCAACCACAACTCGCAAGTGCAGCGGAACGGGAAACGATTATCCTAATTTACATAAATGGGATTTCTGAGACTGCAGAGACTTTTAATGTCTCAGGGGATACATTTTCCAAAAAACGATTTTCCAAAAACGATTTAAGGCAAGCTATTCAACGTAAAGAATAGACTGGGCAAAAAAGAAACGTCAGGGATGATGTGCAAGATTTCTTGCAGATTGTGACAGGTACTATGTGGGCCAACTAGGAAGGAAACTCTAACATAGTCTGGCCATCCCTAGCCATGGGGATAAAGTGTCAAAGTCAGTACACATGGATGCCGAGGACCACAAATTCGATCTGAAAAAGTCAAGATCTAGTAAGAGCAAGGGGCCACAGTGCGTGTGAGCTCATCGATGTCTGACATTCGGAACAGAACTCAATTAACAAGTACCTGGGAGCTAGACTGTCTACGATGCTCTACAGATTAAGTCGACGATAGGTTTCAGATCGACAGGGCGAGGCGGTCAGCACTCGGCCGACCGACACAAGTCAATCGATTATTGACCCTCAAATAAGAAAATGATCAATAGTCACCTGGATTTGGCAGTGACTTACGAGATTTTGTGATTCAGACCTTGAAAGCTGCACTGACAAGGTAGCGTAGCTAGGCAACGAAACGTCAACAAAGGAAATGTCCAGCTCGGAGAACAAAACAGCCCTCCCTTTAGCAGGAGTACCCATTTGTGCGAATATGGGAAGCACGTACAACTGCTGGTGAATAAACATAAGTTGTGGCGAAATATGCCATAATATCGATAGCGGATACAACTAAGCGAAAAGTAACGCGCAGCTAGATAATGCGTTTAGAGTGTTGGTTAAACTGGTGTAGTCAATGCGCCACACAACAGCCCTAACCTGTAGCAATATCCCCTTCTTAACATCTTCATTTTCGTAAATTGTCGGTGCAATTGCAGCAGCAAGACGTTCATAGAGGTCCGGTTTGCGTGCCAGAGTGTGAAATTCCTGGACTCTCTCATCCGTGAATTGACGAAGGGAACCCTCACGAACGTATGCATCCTGACCTGAAAGTTTGTCCGAACACTGATCGCTTTCAACGCTAATTGGGGAATGACACGTGGATGTAAAGAAACGTGAATTTTAGCGAAAGCGTAGATTTACATACGGAAATGTATCATATTGTAGAAGCAGGATAAAAGTGAGATATAAAGTGCTTAAGTAAAGCACGAAAGTATAGTTCGAAGGAGGGTAAGAACAGCGATTGTCCAAGCGGCCAATCAACTTGATGGATAATGTACGTAAAACAGAGCGAAAATATAAAGATGCAGAAATGTTGTTAAAAATAGCTATTTCATTTGGGATCACGCGCAACATTTTTAAAAGCTTCGCGTGTACACTCTTTTAGATATGCAACTAAAACAGAGTAAATAGAAGAACTAGTGACGCATGCCTGTTAGGTGAATGATGATAACCAGAAAAGCCGCAGATGTAGGAAAAGCGCAAACAGGTTTGGCCGCCCCTTACCCTCCAGGAATAAAAGAGGGCAATGAGCGAAGAATAGAAAGGGCGGAAATGAAAAACCATTGAGGAACAAGCGATTTCCAACTAGAGCAATTAATTTGTGTCGCCGTTAATCAATACCGATATCAGCTTCGGCTGTAAAACAATAGCGACAGGGTTGATGGATGACATTAAATAAGCCATCGGAGCTGGTCGCGAAGTAGCACGTCGAAACACTCAGAACACAGTTCAACGGTCGTTCAGTCGGATTGCGTGCCATCCAAATGGTTCGAAGATAAAAGAAATATCCCCTTGCAACAGGTTCGCAAAATGGAGTGCATGTCAGAAATAGCGCTGTCTGACGAAATAACCCAGTTAACATCATCTAGTAGTCGATTGCGCCTCTCACCGTTGCAGACACCCTGGAATCAGGCAAATATAGTCCAAGATTTGTGGGCAACTAAGATCACCACAAGGAGGTGGTGAAATCCCTAGGTATTCCTGTGTAAACCTTAGTAATAACCTATGGGAAAGCATATTCCGGGACAAAATATCCTACAAAATAAATAGGACTGTTCCAGTCTTCGTAACGAGTGAAACCGCAGTCCCCAAAAAGGTAAAAGAAGCAATTAGCTCTAGTTTCATAAAAACAGAAGCCAAGGTTACCAAAGAGTTGTTGCAACGTTACGTCGTAACCTGAAGATGAAAGTCTAAAGCCAAAAATGGGCAGTCTGTGACGCCTTGAGAATGTCAAGTAGCAAGACGATGATTTTCGAAAGATCCAGATCGACTATTTTTATCTAGAAACGCATCAACGTCCGCACAATAAGATTAGATAAAGACTGAACTTCACGCCTGCTGATCAGTTCGCCGAGCTTGATGAAATAGTTGCATAGGTTGCGACACCATGCGAGGTAGAAGCGCCAGTGCGGTGATGTGGAATGTACAATGTTGCTTATTGAATCGTCCATCCGTGATCGAGGGACAGGTGACTTTTGAAAATGACAGCTTCGAATTGCGCCTCGTGATCTTCGTCCATTCTCTTTCGCGGTTGTATGCCGTCTTTCTATTCGCCGGAGATCTTTCTTTCTGAGTCGTTGGTACAATGGGTCGATGTCAATGCACATGCAGATCGAAGAAGTAAAGGTGAAGCAAGCTTCTAGGAATTCCCTTGCTCCTTATGTAGCTGCTTGAGCTAGAATCTCCGTTTTGTTCCAAGTAATACTACGTCCCTCCCCATACACATGCGCTGACAATAAACGATGCTGAATGTTTTCTGCAGGCCCTCTGACTTGCTTGTATCGCAGTTGACAATTTCCTTCATGTCTGTCCCACACAGTTCATATTACAAATATTGCATTTCATACACGAAGTTTGTTCGTTCTTGTGAGTCCCGGTTGCCCGTAGGGTTTGGTAGTGTTCTCGAAGTGGTGGTAGGTTTGTGAACAAACATGACACGCTGTTGTTTGAGCAATCAAGCCTTCATTTCAGATTTGTTCTTCATATATGACAAAACGGCTTGTTTGCTTGCCTTTGACATGGGCTCAGTGTTCGTAGGTTTGTAGTTTAAGCAACTGAAGATGAAGCTGCGTGAGTATACATTGCGGCCAAAGGAATCGAATATGTGTTTCTTTTCCGCAGTAATGTAGCGAATTTTCATTCTGCGAACTAGCGTCCGCGCGAAACTTATTTTGTGGCACTTTAGGTGGTTGCTGTTGAATTTCAATATTCGGTCAGTATGTGTGCGTGGATTAGCGTGACGTCAAACAACGTTGTACACTGAGACTAGCCTTCGGTTCGCTGAGGCTGTCATCAAAAGCCAGATGAATCAGCCCTGTGCGTACACAAACAATTATTTGCCAGCTTAAAGCTGCCCTGGACGTAGAAACGAATTTCCATCATTCGTTTCACACCCCAAGCTTATCTGGTCGCATGCACTGTTAGCTACATTATGCATACCGGTGGTTGTTTATAATATTGTGAAGACAATAAGAAATGCATGCATCTACCAAACTACGTCTATTTTCTGAGTTTTCCAAATTTTAAGGGAACTAACTACATAAGAATTATCAGTAGAGTAATTTGCATTGGTGAATTTCGAATTTACACCCAATGTTACACCACACAGATGTGAATGATTAGAATCAATTATTATTATTAAGGACTCCAGAAAACGCGGTGGTGAAACATTTTACCGCGATCAAAATTGAAAATTCCACGAAATTTTATGCGGTGTCAACATAAGATTCCGTGATTTCATCACGAAGACTAAAATAAACAGAAATCAAGGCACCCACATCACTATATGTGTTGCGAATGGTTATCACGAACCATGGTCTGTCTGGCGATACACATGACTCATGGGTGAATGAATGTCCATGTTATCAAGCGAATCAGTGATTTGGTCGTGTGCACACATTACAGCCGTGTCCTTTGCGTTTCTGTGTTTTTACATACAATACTGGCGACGGCTTATCGAACCCATGGCTCCATCGGAAAATTGTAAGAGTGTACCGAAGCATCTGGTTGCTGGAACCATAACATCGAGCGTTTGATCTGTGTTTTCGCCGCCAATGCAATAGTCAGCGCCAACCGCAAAGTGAATATCCTACTGAGTATCTGTGACTCAGAATTAATTCGCAGCTTGGTGACTCCAGATTTGCCACGCACCAAACAATTTACCGTACTGGTCACACTAGTTTCCAATTATTATAACCCAAACCATCAGTTATTGGGCAACGATTTAAATTCAATACTCGAGTCCAGGGTGAGAGGCAGTCTGTTGCTTCCTACGTTGCCGAGCTTCGGAAGTTGACAAAATATTGTGATTTCGGTAACTACCGAAACGACATGATCCGGCATCGTTTGGTGGTCGGCGTGAAAAACGTTCGTATCCAGCACTGCCTGTTGGCTGAGAACGCATTGATTGGAATGTGCCTATGATGCTGCGACGGGCATGGAGGCTGCTTAAAGTAATTCCCAGCTCCTACAAAATTTACAGCTCAATTCAAAAGTATGTGCTTAAAATGTCACGGCCAAAGTCAACAAAGTTGGTAAAAACACCCCGCGCTCGTCCAACTGTTATCGATGTGGCTTGCGGCACAGTCATCCCAGTGAATGCAACCATACACAGAGAGAATGTAACAAATGTCAAAAAAGTGGACACATGGCCGGTATGTGCCGGTCCAGTACAAACTCGTGTTCGCCACTTGAAAACAACCAACTTGTTACTGTTGAACCACAGGAATATATGTAACACAACTACCTCAAGTGAACAATCGCTATTTCGCGTACACCTTTGTGTTGACCAGATTCCGGTGCAGTTCGAAATTGACATGGGCAGTGCAGTAACGCTGTGCAACGAACGAACGTGGTCACAAAGTTTGGCTCCAACGAGCCACACCAAAGTGTGTCAGGCGCCTCTGCGATTGCTTACATACACGGGTGGTGAACTGAAACTGCTGGGGTGCAGGACGTTGAGACATCATATGAGGTTCAACAACTAGAGGAACCATTTACATCACACTCGGAGACGGTCCAAAGCTACTAGGTCGTGACTGGATCAGTCAAGTTCCAGTTCTGCAGATAAATCATCTTTCCTCACCATCGGATATATAAACATCGTTCCAGTAATATGCACCAATATTTGAGAACCCGGAGGAAGGAAAGTTCACCGGGAGACAAGTTAACATCTACATTCCACCTGGCACACAACCACGATTTATCAAGGCTCGATCGCTACCGTACATGATGCGATCGAACGTAGATGAACTGGATCGCCTGCAGAAGAGCGGCGTCATAGAGCCGGTACAGGTTTCAGATTGGGCTACACCAATTGTTCCAGTACTCAAACCTGATGGATCGATTCGTATATGTAGGGACTATAAAGTTACCCACAATTGCAGTATTCCGGCAGAAAAATACCAAATCCCGAAAACTGAGGACGTTTACGCGCAGCTCGGTCCCAGCATATATTTCTCAATCTTGGATCTCGCGCACGCATATCAGCAGCTCGAACTACATGAAGACGCCAAAACAAGAACGACCATCAGTACCCATCGCGGTTTATTCAGGTAAAACAGACTACCGTTTGGCATACATTCGGCTCCGGTCATTTTGCAGCGAACAATAGATAACATCATAACGGGGCTGCCTAAAGCGTTGCTATACCTAGACGACAACTTGGTTAAGAGGGCGACAACCGAGGAACATCTCCAAACTCTGCGAGTTGTTCTGGACCGCCTGAAAGAGAATGGTTTGAGGTTGAAACATGAAAATGCGTATTATAGGCTCCCCATGTTGATTATTTGGGTTTCCGTAAAAAAGCGCTGAAGGACTGGAGACGATTGAGAAAATCCGACCTATCCTTGAGGCACCACATCCAAGGAATCAACACGAGCTGAGATCGTTCTTGGGAGTGTACAGTCATTGCTCAAGGTTTGACGGCAAGCAGCCACAGTTTTACACCCGTTGCATTGTTTGTTATGCAAGGGCACTCAGTGGGTGTGGTCTGAGACGGGGGAATTGGCTTTTCGCCAAGCTAAAAGTGCATTGGCCAGTTCACCGGTTTTGGCCCACTTTGATCCCGAAAAGCGCATGACGCTGCCATGTGATGCATAACCGCACGGAGTCGGAGCTGCCCTGTTACAACCAAACGTGAACGGTGTAAACAAACCAGTTGCATTTGATTCTTGGACCCTATCGCAGACCGAACGAAAGTACGCCCAAATGGACAAGGAGGCTTTGGCGGTTGTATGTTGAGTTGTACGATTTCACCAATACCTATTCGGGCAGATTCGAAATGCACACAGACCACAAGCTATTACTGGGAAAGCTGGGTGAATCAAAAGCGATATCCGTATGCGTCGCTGGGTTCTTCTACTCGCTGGCTATCAGTATCAACTGAAGTATACTTCTGGGAAGGAGAATAATTGTGCCGATGCTCTCAGCCGATTTCCATTACGGGAAGTTCCGACACACACGCCAGGTTCGAGAGAATTGGTATAATACCTTGGTTGGATGGTTCGTTGGTGACAGCAACCGAGATAAGATCGGAAACAAGAAGTGACCCTCAACTGTCGAAGGTGGATGATTATATCCTAACTGGTTGGCCGGACAGGGTAGATGAAAGTCTAAGAGCATTTCACATTAGATAAAGGGACAATGTTGGATCGATCCGAGTGCGACAGTGTTCCCGCTTGGCAATCGATAAGGAAAGAATTCAATAGTGTTTGGTAGTTATAAGGGTAATTGACCGCTAAGAAGTACGCATGTATACGTGGCGAAGCAAGTCATTGGAATCATGAAACAGAAGTTGAGCCATAGCTTTATCGTGTCCACCAACGCGAAAGAGAAAATAGTGGGGGTTCAATTATTGAGTCCAATAAAATTATCGTCGATTTAAAACGATGGAAGATGTCGACCGAATCGCAATCACGCCGGTAACATCAGATAAATAAAAGTAAAGAAAACAAATAAGCAAACTGGGCAGTAAATGTGTGGCAGGATGAAAGAAATGAGTAAATCAAGAAACGCGAATTAGGCCTGGTCTAGTGTAAGGGTGCTAGTGGATAAGTGTAAGTCAGTGGATAGTAAACGAATAGCACCGAAGATGATAGAAAAAGAATAGATCAAATAAATAGGGAATAGGCAGAGGATTGTCAGAAGTGGACAAATAAAAAACATTCAGTCAGATTATGTAATGCACCGCTTGAGTATTTTCAAATCGATCATATATTTGACCTAATCACGAAGATGTGAAATGCATCACAGAATTCTGAAGTGGTGTTAAGAAAGAGGAAACGAATCATAGAAAGAGATGGGAGCAATAGTTGAGCGACAGTGGATGAATATGGGAAAAATGAGAGACTTACACAAAATGCAAGACATCTACGTATGTTTTGTAAATCGCGCGAAGTGTGCGCTGGCGATTGGACAACCGAAGTGGGACAGCTCTGTAGATGCCGGTGGCGACGACACGGTCACCGGGCTTCACCTTGTCAACCAGATCCTCGTGCGCGTAGAGAACAACCGTGTGTGGAGTCTGGCTGGCTGGCATGTTTTCTGGAAACTCCTGAAAGGTATCATTTAAAAGTGTAGAACAAGTTCATCAAAGATGGCACAAAATAATATTAACGATATGTACCAAAAACTGACGAGTTGGAGCCCTACACAAAAGGAATTCACACCTGAAGTTTAATCAACTGTTTATCGACGAACAAACATCGGTTGTGTAGTAACTGAGCAGTATGTGCTGCGTGACAGCGAACACAGGCCTCCGGCTCCGCGACAGCGCCCATTTCACAAGCAACAGAGGTCAGCGCACCGCAAACCGCACAGCGAAACTCCGCCCGCATCATCTCTGGAATCAAAGAAGACAGTCGGATAACCAAGCCAGACACCCGAACCAGCTGGTCCAAATCTTCTGGATTGAGGCTGCGAAGATCACGCATTTGCGCACAGTTGAAAGGTCGAATCTGTAAATGGCAGCAGATATGAAAAAGGCTCAGACGTTCAAAAGTGAATCGTAAATTGGAAGACGAGTGAATTAGTGAGACAGATCAAGGGAAAAGATGTGCAAGGAACAAAACATTCAAGCCTTAAGATGTAGGGGAGTTGTGTAACAGGGAGAACCAAGTAAACATTAAAACGGGGCGGAGGGCTTATGTCATCACATACCGCAATAAAATCAATAAATATGCAAAGGATGTACGGTAAGTCTTCAAGATTAAGGACAACAAAAAATGAAAGAGGAGATGGGATCGATGCAGGGTGATCGATTCGGTTATGCGGGCAACCACGGGAGAAACAAGGTGCTCATGATGAATTTCCAAATCCGGCATCAATGGGACAAAGAGAACTGAGGGTGATAATAACCAGGGCGCCATACAGATATGACACTGGTTGCATTTTGTGGGTGATAAAGATCAATGGGCATGTCCAAGTGCACGCTTCGTTTAATTAGGAAATTCCTGAGATATGAAGACCCTCACTGAGCGAAGTACTTGGTTTGTGGTCATGACACTGCTCATACTCCGAGTTGACATTCACTGCCCAAACAGTCGGTAACTGATTGTGGAAATAAAAGCTGACAAAATGTAATTCACAATACTGCGGTATGTATATGGTGGTGTCGCTACTACCGAAACAACACCTTCGCTGGATAATCCGGAAACGCCATCGTGACGTTTAAAATCGGCCTGGGGGACAGACAGTACAGCGTAGCCATATATATATATATATATATATATATATATATATATATATATATATATATATATATATATATATATATATATATATATACATCGCTTGTTTGTGTTTCCGAGAGCTTGCAGTGGATGCCATTAAGTGTGTAGCTGTGTAGACAAATTGCAGATGACTCTGATGTTGTCTAGGGTGTGAAGCAAAGCTGAGTACTAACCCCTGCCGTTTATTGTACAGACACGATGTCCTATGTTTTCAACGCTTGCGAATACGACATCCGTCTCGGGCACGGTATCCATGGTGAGTTGTTAAATATCCATCGTTTGGGAGCGATAACCCGAGTGCGTGAGACAACTAACCACATTTTGCTCTCTGCCGACGATTGTGCGCGAGGATAAGTTGCAACCTACCATGATGGCTCTCGCTTCGGTGGCGGTCAAGTACGGACCCACCATCAACAAAAACAGGAGTGCTAATCCATTTTAGCTGTCAACAAAAATGGAATCCCTGGGCTTGACGCGAATCCAGATTGCTAATGAAGTTTCAGAGATATTGAGATTTTGCGACCTGGGGTCACGTTGTCAACAGACCCGCGAATGAACAGTGACCTGCGCACTGGCGTATCGAAGACATGTATGGCTTTCTGCAAGCTGGAATCAAGCTGACGGCGTACTAATCAATGGCACTGAGCGTTCTCTGCAGCATCAAGACTTGGATGCTCTACAAGAAGGACATCCGATTTCGGGAACGATTTCACCAACAATGCCTGCGTCGAATAAGCCGCACACTCTGTCTGGACAGAATGTGTGACACGGAGGTCCTTCGGCTTTGTATCCTGTCACTGCGACAATTGGAGTAGCTTGGACGTGTCCACCGAAAGGAATCGAGTAAAATACCGAAAAACATGTAGTCAAAGCTACATTACATGGACATGATCAAAGTGAGCTCATAAACTAATACTGAACACCACATAGAGAGAGCAAGTGATAATATAAATATGTACAACTCCATCAAAATATGATTAATACGATAAAAAACCGGTCATGATCAGTCAACACACCGATCACTCTTCAGTTTTCATGCAATACCGTTAAATAAACGTATAACACATCATCAACATCATTATACACGTTAGCTGGAGGTGCAAAACACCTCAGCTATTGTGCCACAATACAAAGGACAAGAAGAAGAAAAACACAGTGGCACGCCGGCTGAGGCCCCAGTAACGGATGGGTATCATTCCCGAGAGCTAACAGCCGGCTATCGTGCCGCAGAAAGTTATATTATGCCTAACGAATGAGATCGTGATTGGAGGGGAGGCTAAGCAGGAGGGAGATGGACAAAGGAACTCACAACACAAACGCCACTGGGGCCGGCTCCTAGCCATATCAGCAAGTGTGTCCAACCAAAGGTATTCACCGTCCCTAGGGCCCCAGCCACACTACACACACTATTCACGTTAGCTAGAGGTGGGAAACACCTCTGCTACTGTGCAGGAATACCTAAAAGAATAAAGGGAACAAAGTACAACAGATGCAAGCCAGCTGAGCTGCCAACAACGGATGGGCATCGTTCCGGAAGCTACCCGCCGGCTACTATGCAGCAGAAAAAAATAAGTTACTATGCAAAATTATAAAATTCTAAATAATGAGATCGTGGCTGGAAAGTAGGCTAAGAGGTATGGGGTGAGACAAAGAAACTCAGCACGAACGCCACTGAGGTCGGCTCCTACCCATATCAACAAGTGTATCCAGTCAAACGTGTTCATCGTCTTTCGCTCCCCAATCAGGGAGCCGACACGCTCCAACTGAGGTTAGCTTCGAAGTGAAGATCTTCATTCCTCTCGACCAAGTCATCGCATGGCCACCTCTCCTCTTCTTCCATCCACACCCCGGCGCGCAAACAACGCACGTCGCGGGAGTCGGTGGGTTGGCATGCGTAACACGTGGCCGAGCCATCGGAGCCTGGTGCGTGAAATAACGGTGCTGAGCGGTTCATTTCCTTTTCCTGTGCCATAAACAAGACGTCGAACACGCTCGTTTCTCACGCGGTGTTCCCACCAGATGTGGGCTAAATTGCGAAGGCATCGGTGATCGTACGTAACTAGCCTCTTCAGGTCCGCTGATCTAAGGGGCCACGTTTCACAACCGTACAGTAGGGTCGAACGTACCGCTGCATTGTACACTCTACCCTTCAGGGCAAGAATGATGTCGCAGCGGCGCCATAAGTGGCGAAGCTTAGCAAAAGCGCCTCGAGCTTTTGCTATATGGTTCGTGATCTCATCTTCAATCCCACGGGCGCTGATATAACTTCCCAGGTAGTTGAATTTTGTACGACTTCTAGCTGATCCCCACCAAGGGTCAGCGAAGGAGGCGGTCCAGGCCAATCTTGGAGGAACGCTCTGCATTTCGATGGTGCAAAGCAAAGTCCGAAGTGGCTGACAGCCAATGTTAATCTGTTCAGTGCCGCTTGGCACGTCTGGGAGCTGTCACAGATTAGGGCAATATCGTCAGCATACTCTAAGTCAAGAAGTCGTTCTCCTGGGAGCAAATCCACACCTTTAAAATATTTCGGAAAACTGGTAACTCGGGTTGATAATTCAGTTACCCATTTGTTCGCCGAGCTGGGAAATTTGTTTGCAAACGTTTCACCGCCATGTGAGACGGCATCATCAGTGTGTGGAGATGTGGAGTGTAATCCAAGTTGTGTCCTGTGAACGCGATTTCCATGAAGCGCCCCAGCCAGGCAGTCGGTATGCACCAACCGACGGCAATTTCGAAGTGAGGGTTTTCAATTCTCTCGACCAAGTCATCGCTTGGCCTCCTCTCCTCCTCTTCAAACCGCGCCCACCACGCACAAACGATGCACGGCGCGGGAGTCAGTGCGTTGGCATGCGCAACATGTGGCCCAGCCATCAAAGCTTAGTGCGTGATATAATGGTGCTGAACGGTTCACTCGCTCTTCCTGCACCAAATACACGACGTCGAACACGCTCACTGCTCACGCGATGCTCCCACCAGACATGAGCTAAACTGCGGAGGCAGCGATGATCGAATATGACGAACCACTTTATGTCTGTCGACCTGATGGGCCAGGTTTCACAGTAGTATAAGAAGGTTGAAGGGACGGCTGCATTATCAACTCTGCCCTTCAGGGAGAGAGTGATGTCGCGTCTGCGCCACATGTGGAGGAGATTGGCAAAAGCACCTTTTGCTATACGGTTTGTAACTTCAGCTTCGATCCCAGGGGCGTAAATATAGCTGCCCAGGTACTTGAATTCCTGAACGACTACTAGCTGATCACCAGCAAGGGTCAGCGCGGGGGTGGATACCTGTCAATCTTGGAGAACTTTGCATTTTGATGGAGCAAAGCATAGCCCAAAACGATTGACAGCCAGTGCTAATCGGTCCAGTGTAGCCTGGCACGTTTGGGCGCTGTCACATATGAGGGCAATGTTGTCCGCGTACTCCAAGTCAAGAAGTAGCTCCACACTTTCTAGGTAGTGTCCAGCGAACGCTGTTTCCATGACCTCATCAACAGCGAAGTTGAAGAGGAAAGGTGACAGCGGACAACCTTGTTTCACACCGCTGGTGATACTGAAGGGTGGCGACAGTTTGCCATAAACCCTCACTCTGCCCGAACTATGCGCGTACAGCGCTTTGATAATGTTTACATATTTATCAGGCACACCTTTCCTCAGCAGACAGTCCCAAAGGGCACGTCGATCCACCGAATTGAAAGCATTTTTGATGTCGAGAAACACGACAACGGTGGGTCACCAATAAATTGACGTAAAGTGAAGATGTGGTCGATGCAGCCCCGACCTCGACGAAATCCTGCTTGTTCTTCCCGAATCTGGTCTTCATGAGAGCCAGTCAGTCTATAGAGAACGACAGAGGCAAGCAATTTAGAAGCAACTGCGATCAGACTGATCCCTCTACGGTTGCCGCATTCCGAACGGGAGCCTCTCTTGAAAACTGGGACTGTGACGGAGCGGTACCGGTCTATAGCGACAGCCTCCTGCTCCCAAAGTTCCATCAGCAACTCGTGTAAATCATAAATAAGTGCAGGACGCCGAATGTGTACATAGCTGGGAGAATTCTATCTGCACCAGCGGCCTTATGCAATTTTAACAGTCTGATCACTTGTTCGACTTCTGCGTGTAGGAGCGGACTTAAGGAGACGGCCAATGGAGAAGGGCACTTAATGCCCGAAAGCGAAAGGCACGAAATGCCCACCAGCCTTGGACCAGCCATTGTCGCAAATCGAT